GCTTTGCTTTGTACTGCTACCTCTTTTTACCTCTTAGCTATAATAGTTGAATTATAGTTCACATTAGACTAATTACTGATTCAGATTTGGCCAATGTAGGTCCGGTTGTCACTGTTTGGATTGATCAGCTTTATGCATGTGAAGGATTATCATTACCGAGTAGTTTTCAGTTCAGTCCGCAGTTTCTAAGCCCAAATGCAGTGCGTCAGGTGAGAGACATGCTCGTCCTTAGTTCTTGCTGTTCGCTGGGTTGTGTACCGCAACTTCATTCTACAGTGTGAGACAATATCGAGTTCTACTCTACCTTTGAAGGAGAAGCTATCTGGACTGTAGTCCATGCAAGAGGTATTTTGGCTACGCAATAACAGGTTTTACTCACCACATGGACCACTTACAAGATTTGGCTTCCTGCAACTTAGTCCACCTTAGTGGCACCTTGACGCCCCTTTGACACCCTGGAAGAGACCAAGTAGAGGGAAACGTAACAATGTTACAATGAGCAATCTTGATCGTGGGCCAACTTTAAATCAGACATGGCTTTAGATTATTACCGCTCAACTATCAGAAATGTTTAATCACATCTCGTATATGCATATAGGATTCTTGTTAACATGATAACTGCAGGATTTTGTTATAATGTAACTTCCAAGTGCATTAGAAATATGAATTACTGGAAGATTAAAGGCAAAAACCGAGTTGCCTGATGTGTATGCACATCATGTCAGTCATCTGTCTCAGACTACATGAGCATTGACGGAGATTGTGGAATACTCTGACAGCACTCCAACATCTGAATCCAGGCACGAAATGTGGGAATATTTTATGTAAGACTGCTGTTCATGTAACCTGCAGGCATCTGTAAAATGTAAATATCTAAGAAGCACCTTACAGCCAGTATGAACACACTCAAATGCACCTGCATTCACAGCTTTTTTTTTTTTTTGTTACCACAGAGCCAGGATGTATTCCTAAGTGGGTGCTTTTGTTAATATATTTGCATTGATAGATATGTTTATGCATGTGTCATCATCTTAGTTATCTATAGTTATTAGTTATATGCAGTCTGGAATTTCTCTTGGGGACCCATGTGGATATTGACAGATGATTAATTTTGCTGTGGGCGGAGCCAAGAAGCTGTAGTACACAGATAGAAATTTTGCAGCAATCCAATGAGGATTTCCCTGCAGCTCTGAGCACATAGTAAGAACATTTTCAGTAAATCTGCAAAGTACTCCTCCAGTAATTTCAGGACATTATTAGGAGTTGTTCACATTGTGATAAGCAGTAGGCACACCCTATTTTATCATAAAACCACTCCGAAAAAGGACAGTGCAACATGTCAGGCTTAAAAAAGCTTA